ACCTCTTTTAAAAAATAAAATCCCAACATTTATTATACAGCCTGGTTTCTCCAATTTCCATATTCTACTAATTGCCACTTCGTTACTATCTTTCTCCTTTTTTGGTCATTGAATATTACAGAAGAAGCTTCCGAGTTGGCTAATATTAACTCTTTGAATAGCCGAGTGAAGTTTTTTCAGGTTTTATACGTACATGAATACATTCTGAATAATTCTCTACTGCTTCTAGTCAACTCAGTGAGCTTATCTGGTAGACATAGCACAACCTCCTTGCCTAAAATTTTTCTTTATTTTTAACCCTTTTTGTGGGTTTTGGGGTATAACATTGGACTGTGTTTTCTTTTTGTCCTTGTGAGATTCAATTTTGCTAGGGGCAGAATTTTTTACTTGTTTGCATCATTTCCTGCCTCAAAATTTGGTTAATGCTTTATCATGTTGGTGTTATCTGCCCAGAGAGCATGTTTGGCTTAGCTAAAAAAGTATACTTATGAGAAAATAATCAAGTTTTAAAATAACGTTTTATTTTAGAAGTTGGACAAATGCAAAAGTTAACTTTTTTATTTTCCAAATGATAATTTCTAATTATACTAAAGCTATGGCCTACATGCTCTAAATATCCTGTCCCTTTGTTGCGATATGGTAACTTTATTTTTTCTCGCCATAGTTGCATGAAGCTATAATGCGTGAGGAGTCAACAGAATTCGAAGACGGTATCATACTTGAAGAATACAGAAAGGGGTTCAAACTTGGTGATAGACTCTTACGACCATCAATGGTGAAGGTGTCAGCTGGTCCCGGACCTGCAAAACCAGAAACAGGGGAGGCATCAGATGAACAAGAGGAAGTCAATGAAAGCAATGTGGAGGGTAGCACTGAAGAGTAGTTTGCCCCTTCCTTTCAAGTTTTTATTGGAAGCTGTTGATTTGGTGGAACTAGATGTATCATACCATGGAATACAGTTTTAAAAAAACATTGTACAAATAGATTTATTCTATATATTTCATCTTCGCTTTATCAAGTTTGAGCTCTTGTTTGATTTGGATAAAAAATTAGATTTTTAATAGATTTTGATAAAAGTTAAAGAGATACGTAGTTAGAAGGTTATGGATTTCATAAAGTACGTAGTTGAAATGAGTTTAGAGACACATGAGTTTTAAAATAGGGATTGACGTCGGGTAGAATAGTGATTATCCTATTGGCTTGTTGTAGCGGATGATTCGCAAGAAAAGAACGACAGAAAACGCCCAAAAAAACAGAGAAAAGACTCTGAATTCAACTCAATATTATTAATAATGCAGAATGATGAAAATTAACCCACAAGTCGGGTTAAATAGCTGCGAAATACGAAATTATGGAAAAATTACCAAAAATGGCAAAATCTCAAAATTATACCAAAATAAAATATTAAGTAAAAGAAGTAAGTTGCCAAAAATTTGGCTCAATTCGAGTTTTCTAACATATGGAAAAAGGGAAACGAAATATTACCATAAATAGTAAAAAATAACTTAAAATTGAATTTTGGAAAGGAAAACAGTGAATTTTGGGCTCGAAATTGACGTCCACCGAGCATAGCTAAGTGGCCACGACGTGCGCGCCGAAGAGAGCTTTCCAAATGGGGGTCATAATAGCGATTCCGATAACCGTAACCAAAGTTAGTCTCCCAATTAAGGAAATAATGGTGATTTACTTTTCATCTTTGCGCCGATCCACCATCTCATGGTATTTCAGCGCCATCATCGTGCAATCTGACAAATTAGCATCACTTGACTCGGATCCTCCTGCATCAGTCGCCCCGGGTTGAAAAGAACTCGCCCTCAAGTTCACAGTAACTTCATAGGACTCCATAAAACAAGGGCTTAGGTGTTTTACGTTGAAGACGTCAGAGGTCTTCAAATGGCTCGGGAGGCGCAACCTGTAAGCATTATCATTGATCTTCTGTAGCACTCGACAAGGTCCAATCTTCCGCTCCTTTAGCTTATTGTATTCCCCAACTGGAAAACGATCACGAGTTAATACTGCCCAAACAAAATCACCAACATCAAACAACACCTGGCGTCGATGACTATCTGCCTGAACTTTGTACTTAGTATTACTATCCTGCATGGACAGCTTCACCTGCTCATGGATACCTCGAAGATGTTCAGCCATATCATCAGCTTTATTACCCACACGTGGAATTGGAGCCAAATCAAGTACTCCGGATGGGTTTTGACCATAGACAATTTCAAAAGGACTCAGTCCGGTGGTTCTAGTCCTCGACCGTTTATAAGCAAACTCTGCTTAAGGTAATGCCAAATCGCACTGCTTCGGTTTAGTCCCGGCTAAGCTTCTCAAAAGATTTCCTAAACTCCGATTCACCACCTCAGTCTGACCATCTGTTTGGGGATGGTATGCGCTGCTAAAATTCAATTTCGTTCCAAGTTTCTCCCACAAACTCCTCCAGAAATGACTTATAAACTTAGTGTCACGATCAAAAGTGATTCACTGTGAAACACCATGTAAACGCACAATCTCTTTGAAATAAAGATGAGCAATCCGAGTAGCATCCATTGTCTTCTGGCAAGCCACAAAATGAGCCATCTTTGAAAATCTATCAACCACAACAAGAATGGAATCCATCGCCCGCTGTGTTCGAGGTAAGCCCAAGACAAAATCCATGCTGACATCAAACGAAGGAGCTTCTGGTACGGGTAATGGTGTGTACAATCCAGCATTAGTAAGAGCCCCTTTAGAACGCTGACATACATAATACCGCTCCACATAATGCGCCACATCACTGCTCAACTTGGGCCAGTAATAATCAGAAGAGACCAATGCCAATGTCTTGTCTCGCCCAAAATGTCCTTCGTTATGAAGTTCACTAATAATCTGCTGCCTTAGTGAACAATCCGGAATGCATAACTGCAATCCACGAAACAGGTAACCATTATATAAAACAAAATCATGTCGGTGGTTATCAGTTACCTCCCGAATTATCTTCCCAAATGAAGGATCCGCAGCATACATATCAGGAAATGCCTCAAATCCGACAATCTTGGTGCTCATGGTGGTGAGGAGTAATGTGCGACGGCTCAATGCATCTGCTACTCGATTCAAACTCCCTGCTTGATGCCTGAGTGTGAAAGTAAACTCTTGCAAGTACGCCACCCACTTTGCATGTCGCTTACTTAGCTTGTGCTGACCATTGATGTACTTCAAAGCCTCATGATTAGTAACAAGGATGAACTCCCTCTGTACCAGGTAATGGCGCCAATGCTTCAGAGTTTGAACTATGGCATAGAACTCCAGGTCATAAGTGGAATAATTTTTCTTCGATCCCGATAGCTTCTCACTAAAAAAGGCTACTGGACGTCCCTCCTGACTCAGAACACCACCAATGCCAACTCTAGACGCATCACAGTTTACCTCGAACACCTTTTCAAAATTCGGAAGTGCCAAGACTGGAGCCTCCGTCATCTTCTGCTTAACCAACTGAAAGCTAGCCTCTGCCTCCTCAGTCCACTGAAAATCACGCCCTTTAAGGCACTCTGTGATAGGAGCAATCAAGGTACTAAAGTTTTTGATGAATCGACGATAGAAGGATGCCAATCCATGGAAACTCCTGACATCGTGCAAAGTTTTTGGTTTCGGCCAATTCAAAACTGCCTCAATTTTGGATTGATCTGCATGAACACCATCAGTAGACACAACAAAACCCAAAAAAGTTACAGAAGTTGTGAAGAAAGAACACTTATTCTGATTGATGAATTAGCGCTCCATCCTCATTACATCAAAGACAGCACGAAGATGATTAAAATGTGACTCCCTTGTAAGACTATAAATAAGTATGTCACCAAAATAAACTACCACAAACTTCCCCATGAAAGGCCGTAAAACCTGATGCATAAACCTCATAAAAGTGCTGGGTGAGTTGGATAGTCCAAAGGGCATGACCATCCACTCGTACAACCCATGTTGTGTCTTGAACGCGGTCTTCCACTCATCTCCAGGTCTGATTCTGATCTGGTGGTATCCACTTTTAAGGTCAATTTTTGAGAAGACCTTAGAATCGGACAATTGATCCAACATGTCGTCCAGACGGGGAATTGGAAACCTGTACTTCACTGTAATCCTGTTAATTGCCCTGCTGTCAACACACATACGCCATGACCCATCTTTCTTCGGCACTAGGAGAACAGGAACTGCACAAGGACTCATACTCTCACGAATGTAGCCCCTTTCCAATAATTCTACCACCTATCGCTGCAACTCTTCAGCTTCCTTGGGACTGAGGCGATATGCTGGTCGGTTTGGTAGACTCGACCCCGGAATGAGGTCGATCTGATGTTGAATGTCCCTCATAGGTGGTAGTCCTGGAGGAAGATCCTCTGGCATCAAATCAGAAAACTCCATCAGTAGTTGCTGTACTTCTGCTGGAAATTCTGAATCCACACTCGCTGTACTATTTTCACGAGGCATTAAAGCATAAACTATTTTTTCACGCCCAACCTCAACCAAAAACCTGGACATAGAAAGTAGATTGAGGTTTTTAACTACTGGGGCAGGGATGTTTCCTTCCCTGCGAGGCACCAAAACAATTCTCTTTCCTTTGATACTAAGAGAATAAGTATTCTTCCGCCCATTATTGATAACACTGCGATCATACTGCCAAGGTCGTCCCAACAAAATATGACAGGCGTCCATTGATACCACATCACACCAAGCATTATCAAAATATTTTTTTCCAATTGAGAAAGACACTAAGCATCGTTTTTCTACCGTTACCTCACTGCCTTTATTCAGCCAAGAGAACTTGTATGGTTTGGGATGACGATCCATCTTCAGTTGCAGTTTCTCGATAGCCTCATCAGACACTACATTCTCACAACTGCCACTATCAATGACTTTATCAGCAACTGTGCAGGTTGTGTGGAAAACGTTGGTCCTCAACCAATCATCCCCTGAGTCGCCCTTGGGAGTCAGCAAGCTCTTTCGAACAACCTGGGTCTCCTGACCATCTCCATATAGCACGTCCTCATCATACACGGGTTCCCCAACTTCCTCGAACTCCTCTATCATATCCTCCTCAATCAGAAGATTTTTATTCTTCTGACCAGCAGGCTTCCTAGAATCAGTCGCCCTATGCCCCTGTTCACCACACCTAAAGCACTTAATACTTGAGTTGGAACTATCCCGCTGTGGCTGATAAGCAGGACGAGATTCTTGAGGGCGAACTGGCTGACTTCCTTCACCTCTGATCACTGGCTTCCTACTTTGCTGTTTCTCTACTGCAAGTGCTCGCTGATATGCCTCAGAAACTGTCCACAATGAATGAAGGCTGAGAACATCCTGCAGGGGCTGCCTTAATCCCCCCAAATACCGTGCTACCATCTGTTCCTCCGTTTCAGATAAATCATTTCGAGCCACCAACTGATAGAATTCTTCAGTATAATCATTGACTGATCTTGCGCCTTGCCTTAGTGAATGGAGCCTCTGAAACAAGGTTTGAGTATAGCCGAAAGGGAGGAAGTGCCCTTTCATCTTCTTCTTCATCTTCTCCCAGTTAGTAATTTTGGATTTCCCCTGTCGCTCCTGTGAGCGCTTCAACTGTTCCCATCATGCAGATGCCCTACCTTTGAGTTTGATGGCGACCAGTTTCACTTTGACACGATCTGAAACCTCTTTATATTCAAAAATCCGCTCCACTTCATTCAACCAATTAATAAATCCTTCAGCCTGCAACGTACCAGAAAACTCGGGCAGATCCACTCTGAAACCGAGATCTACATGACGATCCTCCCGTCAACGATGCTCCCAAACTCGAGCACGATGGTGATACGGGTTTTCGAAACTGGAATCGGAATCGTGACCTTCCACATCATGATTACCGAACTCCTGCTCCGCCAAACGTTGGGTTAACTCCGCAACTTGTCTCTGCAAATCTTCAATCATCACATCCTGAACATTACGATCACGGTGTTGGACTTCCTCAATCGGAACCTGTCCTCGATGACCACGACCACGTCCACCAACCATTATAACTGATGAAATTTATCTCCCAAGAAGATGCTGACGCTCTGATACCAACTGACGCCGGGTAGGATAGTGATTATCCTATTGGCTTGTTGTAGCGGACGATTCGCAAGAAAAAAACGACAGAAAACGCCCAAAAAATAAGAGAAAAGACTCTGAATTCAACTCAATATTATTAATAATGCAGAATGATGAAAATTAACCCATAAGCCGGGTTAAATAGCTGCGAAATACGAAATTATGGGAAAATTACCAAAATTGTACCAAAATAAAATATTAAGTAAAAGAAGTAAGTTGCCAAAAATTTGGCTCAATTCGAGTTTTCTAACATATGGAAAAAGGGAAACGAAATATTACCATAAATAGTAAAAAATAACTTAAAAATTGAATTTTGGAAAGAAAAACAGTGAATTTTGGGCTCGAAATTGACGTCCACCGAGCATAGCTTGGTGGCCACGACGTGCGCGTCAAAGAGAGCTTTCCGAATTGGGGTCATAATAGCGATTCCGATAACCGTAGCCAAAGTTAATCTCTCAATTAAGGAAATAATGGTGATTTACTTTCCATCTTTGCGCCGATCCGCCATCTCATGGTATTTCAACGCCATCATCGTGCAATCTGACAAATTAGCATCACTTGACTCGGATCCTCCTGCATCAGGAATGAATCAGAGATTGAATCTTTTTCTTTCTGTAAATTAATAACGTGAGAGGACGATTGTGATTTATTTTTAACTGGTCAAGGAAGAGTTGAGTATACAAGGGAAAAAAAAAAAAAAAAACCTAGAAAGTGCTCAATCTCAAGGAGGTAGGGATTATGTTATTCATAGTGACCAATTCTTATTTGTTGATCTAAGGTGGTTGGATAAGGATCAGTTGTTTTCTTTTCCTCATGGTATAATAATTCCGACGCACGTTACAGCGAAAATGGGTCAAGTACATTGAATTTGAGGCGCTCAAAATTTTTAATTTTTTTCAATTAATGCCCTATTTGACAATCATTGAAGGAAGAAAAATAAAATTTTGAAATAGTGATTGTGGTTAAAAAGTAGTAACAATAAAATATTTTATTTTTAGAATTTGTAGGGAATAAATTTGAGAAAAAAATTTTATTTTATTTTTAATGAGGGCAAAAAGTCAACGCAACACACAAATATTTATAATATATTTGTACGCGTTTTCCCAAGCCGCCGATGGATCTGTTACCTACCCATATGCCTTCCTAACCTCAGCTTATCTAACCCTTCTCTCCTCATTCCACCTAACACACTTTTTTTTTTTTTAATTTATGTTTTGGTGAGATTTTATTTAAAAAAACTTCTTATAAGAAATAATCATGCTACAATGATATAATGACTATCATACTCTTTAACATAATATTATATGAAATTAAATTTTTGGATAGTTTAAAATACAATAAACCTTTTTATTCATTCATCTACAAACATAAAAATATCCGTCAACCACTCTTATCATTTTTCTTCTGTCAATATAAATAATCCTATAAGTAATTTACCCCAAGGCCAACCACTTATTCGAAAAACAGTCTCTGTGTAGTCTACTTATAGCCACCCTTATATCTTACACGAGTGCTTGATAAGCCTGAATAATCGTCTCTACACCATAGCTATTGTCCCCTTCCTTCAACGAGGCATCCACATATAATACTAGTTAGTATTAAATCAAAATTTACACCTTAAGCTAAATAAATGATGCTCATTTGACGTGAAAAATCGCTATAACCAAGACCAACTCACAAGTCTAACTATACAAAGTTGTCTACGAGGTTCATGATTTTAAAATAAAATTAACATTTGAGGTAAATTGAAGAGAATTTTGATTTAGGCCATGTGGTATCTCAATTATCATCACATGATATCAATTTGGCTACATGTTAGGTGATATGATGAGAGAAAACTTGTTAGGTGCCGTGATAACTAAACTGAAAATTGTACAAATCTAGTACATTAACAATGTGTTGTCCATAACAAATAAAAAAAAAAAACTAAAAACAATACGAATAATCAGACTTGCTCAGTTGCTTTGTCTAAGAGAGACATTAATTTATAGTATTTTAATTAACCCTAAAAGTTATGATTTTGTATTAATTACAATTAACTATAAAGTAATTGAGAATTATCTTTGTATTATTATAAAACTAGACATCACCTCACCTTTATCGTGAAAATTGAAATCTTCAAATAAAACGAAGACCCAAAATAACTTTTTATTTCTCGTACGATGTGTTTAATTGACATAGAAAATATTTTGCTTAATTCGAGGAAAATAATATCCTACCTTCCCCAAAAAGAAAATGTTTTTTCTCAGAAACAAGGAAAACTAGATATATTTATTATGTAGAAAAATATTCTTTTATAAAAAAATGACAATCAAAAGTTCTAAAAGTTGAAATTTAAGTGGAAAAATGTCATTTTTTATTTTACGTACATAAGTAACAAGTCATTATTTACAATTATATACACATGCAATTTATTGTTTAGTGTAATACTATTTAGTATAATTAATATTACAATTTCAATTTAGGCGACACTAAATGTTGTTAAATAAAAAATACAATTAAATAAACCATATAGTTTCACTCTTAATTAAATCTATCATATAATGTCATTAACGGGTGCGAAATAACATTATTCTCCGACGGAGATCAAAAGAGGAATTTGAAATAGAAAACATGAGGTAGAAGGTGGTAGGTAGCCTATAGACACTAGCATGCATTCAAGAATTAGTTGTTTGTTGTTTGTCAACACGTTTCAGTTCTTTCTATTATTTTTAATAAAAACTACTATAGGTGATCTGTTATATGTCAAAATTCTGTGTGCGAGTGAGAGAGAGAGAGAGAGAGAGAGAGAGGAGTATCAGTGTGTTCAAGAATCACATATGCAGCCACAGAAGTACAGAAAGAGTTTTTAGGTCAACTCTTGAGGATTTGGGTTGAAGCAATTCTTGTTTAGAAACTCGAAACACAATCAAGTAAGTAATAAGTTCCCTCTCTGCGATCACTTCTGTAATCTAATATATGTATATCTATATGTCGTCTGCTAAATTTTTCTCTGTTAGAACTGGTTTTATTTATTTGATATTCCTTTTGATTTCATTAAATCAAGTCCCTGTGTGTGTTTCTGTTTAGTTATCGATCTCAGACTGACAAATTTGATTTCGCGTTCACTCTCTTATTATTTAGTCTTTTAGACAGAGATCATGAACTCAAATCTCGTTCAGGTCTTTTAATGAAAATAATTATATGCGTCTTGTGTGAAAATAAATAAATAAATAAATAAAAATTCTTGGCCTGCACAGGAATTTGGCAAAAGACAATTAAAACTTTGGAATATAGCAGCAACAAGTTTGAGCAAGAAGTACTGTGGATAGTTCATTATCTTCAAACATTTTCCTTCTGCCTTTCTCTGTAATGTAAACTAAACCGACTGTTTTTTTTTTAACCTTTCGATTATCAGATGTAAATCTTGAGCAAACTTTGTGAGATTTTTTTGTTATCCTTATTTTCCCCTTAATTTATTTCTTTATGATTTTGTAGTAATTATTTTTGTATGGCTCATGATAAAAATTGGCTTAGAGAATCTTGAAAGAACAGCTCTGTCAAACAACCCAAAGCCCAAAAAGTCTTACAACAGTAAGCACAGTATCCAGAAAATTTACTCCTTTTTAAAGTATCCATTTGAAAAGGCTGCATTTCCGCTGTCTAAAGATTAACCCTTGGATATGGGCCACTATTGCTGTTGGTGTTGATCTTTCTCTTATTTATTTATTTATTTTATTTTATTTTTCTGGAAAAAGGTCATGGTCTTCAGAATTTTCTTGAACATCTACTTCACTCTCCAGTCACTACTCAATCAAATATGTATATGTTCAAACTTTTGAGTCAGGGAAGTGCTAAGTGCAATGGGGAATGCACCAGATCTGGTTTTCTAGCCTAAACATGATAACATGAATAAAGATTGATAATAAAGTTTGAAATGTCAAGTGAGACTCACCTTGGCCATAACCTTTTCAACCGTGCTAGACGGACAGGCCACTTCAGCCCTGTTCGTCCAGGGCCGATGTGGCGCCCCACCCCCCGACATCGCCCCCCTATAATCCCTGTTCGAGCAGCTTTATGCTAATATTTTTCCCTTTACTTCAATTTTGCATCTTCCCATATATTCAACAATGAATTGAACGGAATGATAAAAAATGATTTGTGTAGCATAGCATACGCTAAAAGTACTGTAACGGGAAATGGGAAATACTACTTTGTTGCTTCTTTAAATCTTGACTTTGGGGCTGATGAGTAAAAAATTCTTTAAACATATTTATGCCGCTAAAGAGTGTAGAAAGATGTTTACTATTGTATATTCAAGTTAAGATTAATCAAACTCTGGAAATTGATTTCGTTTGGTTCTGATACCTGGACAAATGGCTCTTTTATGTGGGAAATTCATTATTCTAACAACTTAATATGGAGCTCTACCTGTAATGAAAATAAATCAGGAGGAAAAGAGTGATGAGAAATCATTCCTAAAACATAGGACTGATCCTTAGGAAACTCTTGATAATTTGATATAGTATCAAGTACTGGAATGGTTTGTATAAATGGAAGCCGTTTGATTGTGCATTTATACAGAAAACAGGGTACTTCACTCATGATGAAACTGATATTGTCTATGACTTCAAATCGAGGCATTTAAGTAAGTTATCACCTTAGCATAGAAATGTGCATCCTTATGAACTATAACATAATAGGCTTTTTTGGATAGTTGAATAAATTTTTTTGATGAGTTTTTGATTTCTCTTCATTGTAGAGCCATGGATAATGGCATTCAAGAGAGACTGCTTCGTTCTGGTTCGGAAGGAAAAGAAGTGGGCGGTCTGAAAGGGAAGGTTTACGAAGAATCCAAGAAGATATGGAGGGTAGCATTGCCTGGAATTATAGCGCGAGTGGCTTCATTCGGAACCATAATAGTGACACAATCATTTATTGGACACTTAAATTCATTAGATCTTGCTGGTTATGCACTTGTTCAAACTCTTAGCGTGCGGTTTATCAATGGAATACTGGTAACTTCTTGTTCTATGTCCTTTCATTTATTGTTCGTAAATTTGCTAAATCTTGCTGGTTAATTTGAGGTAAAATCAAGGTCGATGAACTTACATGATAAAATGTCAGCCTAGTGCAAGTCTTGGAAAATTTACAAGGTCTGCAAGAGGCGGTTATAGCAGACTGAGACTAAAGAATCTGCCATTTCAATAAAGACAGATGCATATAATGTTGGAAAAATGGTTTAGTTTATGTAGCGAGTGAGTCCCATTACCTGATTTTGTTATTTCTAAGGACATATGCGTTCTCCTCTATGAGGAGATGTTCATGTTATAATTTGTTTATCTCAAAACCATGTTTGGATGAATGAGAAATTAAAACCGAATATGTACATGTTGAACTTGAAAAATGGAAAGTTTCCATTCCCACATTGGAATATGGAAACCTCTCGACCGATTTATTTAATGGAAGTTTGGCACTTGGATCTGGGCTATGCAATAGAATTTGTACCAAATTTTAAAATGTTATAATTTCCATGCTACAGATAGGCATGTCAAGTGCAACTGAAACACTTTGTGGACAAGCATATGGAGCTAGACAGTACCATATGATGGGCATTTATTTGCAAAGATCATGGATTGTTGATTTCATAACTTCGACTATCTTTCTCCCTATTTTCATCTTTGGGACGCCCCTCTTTAGACTACTCGGTGAGGAAGAAGGCATTGCCAGATCAGCAGGATACATCTCGTGGTGGTTTATTCCGATGGTCTACAATTTTGTTTTTACATTGACGATGCAAATGTATCTACAAGCGCAGCAAAAGAACAATTTTGTTGCCTGGATATCCATTCTGCAAATTATAATACACGTTCCCTTGTCCTGGCTGTTTGTTAACCATTTGAACTGGGGAGTTGATGGGGCGATGGGTGCACTATGCATATCATCCTGGTTTGTTGTGTTTGGAGAATTTGCATACATATTTGGTGGATGGTGCCCTCAAACTTGGACAGGATTCAGCACGGCTGCTTTCAAGGATATATTGCCTGTAATAAAGCTCTCGATATCCTCTGGCATTATGGTTTGGTAAATCATCTTCCTTGTTATCAGCTATATGTCAAAGAATATGTTTTATTATATATTTTTCACAAATCAAGTACTCAGCTTAAAAATTAAAATGAACTCAAAAGTGATTTTCAAGACAATTGCACTGCTGCACTGATAGAGAGAGAGGAAGTTTGCGGATGCATACATAATTTTGGTGTAAAACTATTTTTACTTATTTCTTCTCTTGGCTTGCTTTGTAGCTTAGAGTTGTGGTACAATTCTATTCTAGTCTTATTGGCCGGTTACATGAGTAATGCAGAGGTTGCTATATCCGCCTTCTCTATTTGGTGAGTGCACGCTACACTAAATAAGATTTAATTTCCTTTTCCTTTTTCCTTAGTACTGTCCACTAAACTGCACCTTACCAAACAAACCATCAGTTTTGTTGCACTATGACCTATCAATTAAGTTGAATTTTCCAGCCTTAACGTCAATGGATGGGAATTCATGATTTGCCTTGGCTTTCTTGGTGCTGCATGCGTGCGAATTGCAAACGAGCTTGGGAGAGGAGATGCTAAAGCTACAAAATTTTCTATTAAAGTCCTAATAACTACTTCGATTGTGATTGGTGTATTCTTTACGGTTATTTGCTTGGTCTTTGGAAACAAACTTGGATACTTTTTCACTAATGACGTGGAAGTTGCAAAGACTGTGTCAGATCTTTCGCTTCTACTTGCGATCTCTGTGTTGCTTAATAGCATATATCCAGTACTCTCAGGTATGTAATTACATAATCTGAGGTTTCTTTTTCTTTCCTTTGATGTACTTGATCTTAACCCTTCATGTATTCCTATACTTCGGTTTAAGTACTAAATTAATGCTTTAGTATGAAGTACTTAAACATGGTACAAGAACAAGCACAGATCATGAAATCAAGTCTCGTTGCACCTGTTTACTAAAATTGTAGAAGGGTCAAGCTTTTGACAAAAAAATGATTCTAGGGGAGTCTCTAAGACTAATTTTAAACAAATAAACGTGTCTCCTTCTAGCAGCCTAAGTTTTAGGTGGTTCAACACGTTGGGTAGTTCATGTTTTGTGAAAAACGACAAACTAAAGCCACAATTCAAACTTTTTTTCACCGCTGTGCATCGCTAAACCTACACAATAATCCTGTGAAACCGCAGTAGGCCATGGCAATTTGGCCTAGAACTCCATGTTATAATCTATTATAACATGTATTTTTGGGAATCATATTGCTTTTGTAAAGCGATAGATTCTTAAAATCTACGCAAGTCTGTGTCCTGACCGTAATTTGTTTATATATGTTTTATTTATAGATTCGTTGTTAACTCTGCAAATTTTGGTAACAGGTGTGGCAGTAGGAGCAGGTTTGCAAGGCACAGTTGCAATAATCAACCTTTGTTGCTTCTATTTGATCGGAATACCGGTTGGAGCTGTACTTGGATATGTTGCTCATCTTCAAGTGGAGGTAACGCCAAATTTATCTACTAAGTCAACTACAAAGAAAACCTTCATGAAATAATTAAACTTACAAGCACACCTACTACGTAGCCACTAGTAGTAGGGTTCATTAGGATTCACGTCAGACAATTTTATGATTTCAACCTACCGTAACCCTCCTCGTCCAAGCTTGAATGACATGCACCTTCATTGGATGATGAACCCGCCATCAAACCCCGTATGAACCTTTGATTTCATACGTTATGCATGTAGAAATTGTAGGGTACTTTTCAGCTCTCTATTAACTTACCCCTCGCCACAAAAATTCCATTCTAGAGATGGTTTGAAGAAAAAAAACTTATCCTTCAAAATAAGTTCCCATGACAAATGATCGCAAATATATGAAATTGATATTGATGACACACACCTCTAGTCAATGTGCTTAATTCTTACATCAATCCTGGTTTCACAGGGTATATGGATCGGAATGAACATTGGAGTTTTCACTCAGACGCTTGCACTTAGCTACATGGCGTGGAGAACAGATTGGGACAAACAGGTAAATTTGCCAGGGAAATAAAACTGTCCAAACTACAAGAATGTCAAAAAAAATTCCAATTTAGTAGAGTAGAGAATATTCGACGACTTTGGTTTGATTCTCTATCATCCTGCAGGTCAGGATAGCTTCAGAACGCCTCCAAAGATGGTACCTGAAATCTTCTGAAGAGCCGAAGCATGAGATCGAACATGCTTAATATGGAAAAACCAAAAGAATTTGAGGATAATTGATTAATAGTTAGTACAAGAAAATTCTATGGCTCCTTTGCTGCAGATTTTGATCTTGTAACAACCATCTTTGGGAAAATTTGGCCAGATTATGTCGTACTTAGAATTTAAGACACAAATCAAGGTAAACATTTGAGTTTTGCCCGATTCTCGTCATGTCATCCTGCAGAAAGAATTAATAAACCTAGAGAAAGTTTCACCTTTAGCAGGTTTCTGTCTGTATTTCATTCGGAATATTAAATTTCTGAAAGTGATAACAATTTCAGCCTTTTACATTTTTACATTTTCTTTATTCCAACTTAATATTTTTGTCAACTGAATTTGTGTTTGTTTTTACATTTTCGAATTTCACGCTATATAGACTTGGTGAAGATAAAATTGACAGATTGAAAACGAAACAGATTGCCGAACAATTACATGCTTTTTCATTAATGATTACAAAAACAGCACTGGTGTACATTATTTTCCTTGGACACTGCACACCATGTCACGTACGGAATGGGAATACGAACATAAATAGGAAATTAAAGCACAAAATCATGTTCGGTGCCAGGACTCGACAACATATTGAACTAAATTTTCGCTTATTTTTCTGTCATAATTTACTATCCAGTCCTCCTACCGAACATGCTATGATCGACAATATCAGTCTCTTTTTCCATTTTTCTGCTCACAGCAAAATATGCAATCTCTGGGTGGACAACTACATCTGCAGCTACAGATACAGTCCTGAAGTCTTCTAACTTTGTTCTGAACTGAACCAACATTCTGAGGGAGTTCTAGCCTGACGGAGCTGACGAGTTTTCGCCATGGGAAATATGTGCCATCTGATGAAATATGATCAGCCACTTGGGTACTGTTGATGGAGATGAAGGGATGATGATGATCTGGCTGCTTAGGGTCTGGATTAGAGAGCGGATTGGAAAGGTAGCACCATAATGCAAGACCTACGAAAAGGACAAATAATACTGGTAGTGGGATCTTAGCCATGATGGAGAGTTTTGGGGTGAAGCAAATTTCATGCAATAGGTAGAGATTTATATAGAGTTATATTTTATAAGGAAAAAGGGAAAATTTGTACACTGGTCCCCAAACTTTAGAGCTTACAAACTCATCTCATGGTTCAAATCCAAAGTTCTAAATCCCCAAATTTAAGGGACTTTAGGCAGAGAGGTTTATTTTGGATAGAAACAGTCAACGACTTCCTCCAACCCTTGTGACTTGTGATACACCGCCAATGACTTGCACATGCCATTTTAATGTCAAAATAGACAATTTCTGTACAAAGGGATCAACTCAGTCTGATGGTGTTTTTTCGTAGCAGTCTAAGGGATTGGTTTTACTTTTTGGGCATGCTTCGTTTAAGTTGCTCTTCTTCTTTGGATACCATTGGCATGGTACTAGAAAATTGTTTAGAGTTGTTTTTGTCGGTATTGACCCAAATTTGGATGGTCAAGTCGAGTTTGGAGCATTTCAAATGCTTGGGTATCCACTACAAAGTAGTCTAATATTAGACTACTTTGATCTTTTTCGCCTCTATTGGTCCACAATGGGATTTAAAAGTCTAAATTTAAAGGTTGGGATGAGTTTGTAATAGACTCTAAAACCTGAGGACTAGCTTTGCAATATTTCCAATAAAAAATTATGTTGCTCATAGTACATATGATATGAGTTTTATGTATTGCCAGGATATATTAGTGTAACTTTGTAAAATACTAAAAAATGAAAGTAGGAATATTTCCGTTAGAGTTAGAATTCGAGGTTTTTGTGCATGCATGTATGTAGTATCTTAGACTTTTGGTATCTTACACGGCCCTTTTGGACAAAATTC